TTATAAAGAAAAGCGGAAGTCTGAACACTTGTCTCATTAACCATCTAGTACCTAAGAGTGAAATTGGTCCTAGGCCATACATCATGTCCAAAATTGAAAGTAAGAAAGAAAACAGAAAACAATGAAAATCCATCCTCGAAGCATGTGGACTCACCAAAGCTCCAAATCTCTCAAAATCAACCTCGAGCCACGAAAATGAGAACCCTGACTGTCGGACCCTACATTTGGGGAATATATAGGCAAAAATATGTGTTAGTATAAACATGTACCAAGTATTATAGCCATGCGTAAAACATTTGATAACATGCGTAAAAAGGGACATTTCATGACATGGAATGACCAAGCTAAAACATGATATAAAAAGGTTCAAAAGACATAAGTCATAAAATATGGTCAATGCAAGCTAACATCTTTAAAACCTTTGAACACATGTGAGATACTTATTGAAGTAACCTTAGTTCATTATTATTGTGGGAATTAACCTTAACAGACATAAATACCATGTAACCTATAACATGATCCCCCGGTGTCTCCCACACTGAAAAGGATTGTCCTACTTGTCAAGGTAATGGCCATGAACTTCTAACTTAGGTGGATCCACTAGCTAATGTCTATCTAGACAATCATCTATGTAAGGGATAAAGAGATTTCTTCTAGAAACCCGGCCTCTACTCAGGGGAGAGCTTCCATCTCAATATCATCTCGGTGTTAAGCATAAATCCCACGGAATAGTCATTTTCTTACTTCTTCTCATTATCCATGGAAGGGCACGCCATCTTGTCAATCCAATCTAGGTCATAAGTCATCCATGGAAAGGTATCATTCAATAACCAATGCAAGCTAGGTTTCATTTGGATAGCTCCTTATCTTTGATTCATTTAGATGAGAAGACCTTTCAACCTTAGAATCCTAACTATGTGAGAAAACCTTTCACAATTATACTTTCATGTGTATATGAGAAAATCCTTTCAACAACACAACAACAACATTATCATTGATACTTCACTCTCAAAGCATCCTTAAAACATTTACTTAAATCCAATAAGAACATGCTTAGTTTCATAAACTCTTAATTCATAATCCAAAACCCACATCATATCATCATAATTTGGAAAACATGGAAATTACATGGGTTCATGAGGAATCATCATAAAATCATAGGATTAACTCAATTCATGCATAAGAGATCATAATTCAATCAATTCAATCAATAATCAAGAGAACCCATAACATATTAGAAAAACCCTAATTCAATTGGGGATTTCTAACTTTGAAAATAGGAGAATTTGGGTATTCCATGAATGGAAGGAATCCATTGATGAAAAGTATCATACCTTAATTCCAAAAGCTTTCCTTCAATGGTGGAATTGGAGACTTGCCTTCAACCCTAGGTTGAACCCTTCTTCTTCAAGGTTCTAGAGAGAAACATATTTTAGAGAGGAAGAACATGATCTTCTTTGGTAAGTTTAAGAGAATGACTTGAATGGGTTGAATTTGAGGTTAAAAATACTTATATATGGGTCCTAGGTATGGTTAAAATGACATAGTATAATAATAAAATAATTAGGAAAAGACCCAACTGACTCTGGCTTACAGCTGATGCGAACCTCCAGATGGAGGCCCACACGAGCCGTCTCAGGGTTCACAAGCCGCCTGGGCCATCGTGACCTTAGACCAGTGGATTTTGCCTCCCCTTCACGGCTACCACAACGACACATTTGTCTCTTCAGGAGCCGTCTGGGTGCTCGTGAGAAAAGCCTGCCTTGGGGAGTACCCTGTCCACTTCACCATAGGCACCACCAAGAGATGTGGTACCCTTCCCGAGGCATCTAATGGTTCGTGGGAGGGGAGCCTATCCTAGACATCCACTTCCTAAGCCCCCATGAGCACCACCACGAGCTGTGGTGCCCTTCACGGCCCGTCATGGGTCCCATGCCATGGCTCAGTGGAGGGCTGGTGACCTCCCACTTGACTCTCTTCTCGAGGTTTCCTGGTTCTAGGGTGTTACATTATCTCCTTTTTTGGAACATTCTTCCTCGAATGGAGTTCTAGACATCATACGAAGGAAATGAACTCAAATATAGTAGTCCATAATGCATGAAATCACATAAATGCACATATCTGAGGAGGAAACATCAACTCCAAGTTAAAGCATATTCAAAACATCATATCATGAAGTCTATATGCAACTCATATTCAAATGCACATAAACATGTAGAAATCAATCAAATTGATTCATTTTCTCAAAACTTAAGTTTTTTTTCATGAACATGCATAAATGAGGAAATCACGAGAATATCTAAGACACATGACACCAAAAGAGTAAACTATGAGGAACTCATTATCTCAAGCTAGAGTAGGGGTAGAAGGAAAGAGATGGGGATATCGAGACATCATATCAGCCTCAGCCTCCCAACTAGCACCCTCGACTAACTAATTCCTCCACAACACTTTCACGGAAGCAACTTCTTTATTCCTTAACTTCTTGACTTGCCGGTCTAAAATCTCAACCAGAACTTCTTTGTAAGAAAGAGTCTCCTTGTCTCCCAAACCTTCTAAAGGAACTATAGATGTCGGATCACCAACACATTTCTTTAACATGGAGACATGGAAAACTGGATGCACCGATGCCAATTCATTAAGCAATTCAAGTTCATAAGAAACCTTACCAACATGCCTTAAATTCTAATATGGGCCTATATATTGGGGACTAAGCTTCCCTTTCTTACCAAACCTCATTACACACTTCATGGGTGAAATTTTCAAATAAACTTAATCGTGAACATCAAACTCAAGATCCCTTTTTCTTACATCGGCATATGACATTTTCCTACTCTGAGTCGTTTTCAACCTTTCTCTAATAAGTCAAACTTTTGCCGTAGCCTCATATACCAACTCGGGACCTATTAGGGAAACTTCACCCACCATAAACAAACCTATAGGAGATATGCACCTCCTACCATACAATGCCTCGAATGGAGCCATACCAATACTCGAGTGATAACTATTGTTATATGCAAACTCAATCAAAGGCAAGTGATCATCCTAATTACCTTTGAAATCAATTATACAAGCTCTCAATATATCTTCCAAAGTTTGGATAGTAAGCTCCGTTTACCCATCGGTTTGGGGATGAAAGGTTGTACTAAGCTTGACACGAGTACCAAGACCCTTTTGAAAAGATCTCCCGAACTGAGAAGTGAATTAGGTACCATAATCGGAGATAATGGATAAAGTCACTCCATGCAACTTTAACATTTCCCTTAAATACAACTTAGCATAGTCCTCCGCCGAATAAGAAATCTTGATAGGAATAAAATTAGCTAATTTCGTCATTCGATCTACTATAACCCAAATCGAGTCATGTTGTCGCTCTGTGCGAGGCAAACAAAAAATTCCATATTTAAGTCTTCCCACTTCCAAGTAGGAATGCTAATGTCATGGGACAAACCTCACAGTTTCTGATGCTCAACTTTCAGTTGTTGACAATTGGGACATTTAGTCACAAATTCCACAATATCCTTCTTCATCCCATTCCACCAATAGATCTCCCGTAAATCACGGTACATCTTGGTCGTAGGATAATTCTTTTCATGAATCTTAAGTTGCCTTGAATCATAGGAAATAACCTTCCTATTTTGATAAAGTACACATCCTATCCCAATTCTCGAGGATTCACAATAAATAACAAAACCATTAGTCCCTTCTGGCAAGGTCTAAACCAGAGCGGAAGTAAGTCTTTCCTTCTACTCCTGAAAACTCTTGTCACATTCTTCGGACCATATGAACTTAGCCTTCTTTTGAGTGAATGCTATCAATAAAGAGGCAATCGTATAAAACCCCTCATCAAACCTTCTATAATAACCAACCAAACAAAAAAAACTTCTAATATATGAAGGGGATAAATGTCTAGGCCAACTCGGTACTGCATCCATCTTCTTAGGATCTACCTCAATACCCTTACTTGAAACAAAGTGGCCAACAAAAGCTACGGACCTTAACCAAAATTCACATTTGCTAAACTTTGCAAAGAGTTGTTGGTCCTTGAGAATTTGCAACACAATCCTTAAATGATTAATGTGATCATCCTCACTTCTCGAATAGATCAATATATCATCAATAAATACAATCACAAACATTTCAAGGTATTGTCGAAACACCCTATTCATCGAATCCATATATGTCACTGAAGCATTAGTCAAACAAAAAGACATCATGAAAAACTCTAAATGACCATATCGAGTTCTAAAAGCTGTTTTTGGAATATCATTTTCCTTCAACCTCAATTGGTAACAACCCGACCGAAGGTCAATCTTAGAGAAGTAACTTTCTCCTTTAAGTTGGTCAAACAGATGATCTATCGATGGGAGAGGATACTTATTCTTAATGGTAACCTTATTCAACTGTCGATAGTCTATACACATACGAAGAAAACTATCCTTTTTTCTAACAAACAAGGCTGAATCACCCCATGAAGATATACTTGATCGGATGAAATCCTTATCCAACAAGTCTTACAATTGCTCTTTCAATTCCTTAAGTTCTGCCGGAGCCATTCACTAAGGAGGAATAGAGATAGGTTGCGTATTTGAGAGAAAGTCAATGCCGTAGTCTATTTCCCGTTTGGGAGGAATACCGGGTAGATCATTTGGGAACACTTTTGAAAACTCATAAACTACGGGGACCGACTCAAGAGTAGAGGTTTCAGAATCCACATCCCTCACCCTAACTAGATGGTATATGCAACCCATATCAATCATCTTTCTAGCTTTAAGACAAGAGACAAGCTGACCCTTTGTCATAGAATTTCCCCCTTTCTATTCTAGGACAAGATCATTTGGAAACTGGAACTTGACTACACGAGTTCTACAACCAATAGAAGCATAGCAAAAATGCAACCAATCCATATCAAGGATAACATCAAAATCTAGCATATCAAGCTTTATCAAATCAATAAGAGTAACCCTATGGGACAAGGAAATAGGACACTTTCTATAAACCCTCTTAGCCACAGTAGAATCACTCACAAGATTAGGGACAAATAAAGGATCTAACAACACATACGAAAGAACATCAAACCTCATAGACACATATGGAGTCACAAAATACAAGGTAGAACCGGGATGAAGTAAAGCATAAACATCAAGTTGGAAGAATTTCAACATATCGATAAACATATCGAGAGAACCCTCTTGCTCACCACGAGTCTGGAGTGCATAAAATCGGTTCTTCTTGGGAGCATTGGAACCCGAACAACTAGGAGAAGCTTGCTTGCCCACTCTTCCTTTAACATTAAGCATTGGGCGATCGCTCATCTTATGACCACTTTTACCACAACCGAAGACACCATCCATGCTAGCTAGGCACTTACCCTCGTGCTTCTTTCCACACCTATCATAAGTAGACATAGGCAATGATGATCCACTACCATTCCTTCCTTGAGGCTTAGGGTTAGGCACCCTACCTTTGTTGATCTAACACCTCGGAATCTAGTAGACTAAGCTAGGGGCTAAGTTCCAGGAATGAACTAGAGAATTGGGCCTTGGAACCCTCCACGAGTCGTGAAGGGAACCACGACTCATGGTGGTGCCCATGATGCCTAGGTAGTAGCTAAAGAAGACTTCCTACCACCCACGAGAGCCTAGACGGCTCATGGTGGTCACCACGGATCGTGTGACTACTCGTGGAGGTGAGGCAGTAGCTTCACAAGGCTGCCCAAAATAGGGACCCTCCCTACGAGCCACTAGACGGCTCGTGAAGGCCACCACGGGCCGTGGGAGGGGTCGTGGTTATGAGTTAGATTTTTAGGGGTTAAAGGGTGGCAAGCAAGGCTACTGGTCAAGGGCCAAGGGCATTACAACGGTCCGTGAAGCCCCACACGGACCGTGTAGTCATCCGTGAAGGGTTTGTCATTAGACTTAGACTATAGGCTCAACTTCAAATGATCATATCTCTTAGCTAAAAATGAATTAGGTGGGACATGACCTATAGAATGAAAGGTATCTGAGTCTTCTTTCCAACGCCACCAATTTTTTCCAATTCTGATCTCGGGATAAAAAGTTATTCCCGAAATAGTGAAGCACTGTTAGGCTGAAAATTCTTCACGACCCGTTTGACGGGCCATGGTGATGATGACGATCCGTGAAGGCGTCCTTCATGCCATTTCGGCAGTTAACAGTTAGGTAACTTCTTGGATCTTTTTCCAATTGTTTTAACTCAAAGTTATGTCGTTTTGTCCAAGCCTAGGACCCCTATTTAAGTCATTTTAACACCAAAACTCACCCAATTAAGTCATTTATTTCAAAACCCAAATAATTCTCAAAGTTCATCCTCTTCACAATATTTCTCTCTCTCAAACTCAAGGAAGAAGAAGAGTAGAATTGGAGCTAGGGTTTTGTAGAATTCAAGGCTTCTTCCTCAAATTCTTTGAAGATTCATTATCAAGGTATGGTAGCTTTTCATCTATGGGTAGCCTTCACCCATAGAGCCCCTTCAAAGTTCAATTTCAAAACTAGTGTTTTCCCCAAAAGTGAGAGTTTGACTTCATTCTTGTGGGTTCTTTCCAAAAACATTTTTAATGGTTGATTTATGATGGATTGTGATTGAATTGATGAATTATTGTTGGTTTATGATGAATTCCCCCAAGAACCCATGAAATCCCTAATTTCCCAAATTTGGATCTTAAGGTGTGAGTATTATTATATATTGATTCAATTGAATGAATAACAATTGTTTATGGTGTAATTGCATGATTTTAGTATGATTATACATGTATTCTTGACTAACTAAAGGTTTTAGGGTGAAATTTATATAGTTTGGTTTATGCCATGGAAGAGGCAATTGAGGGCTTTGATGTGACCCTCTAAGACTGATGAACTACTTTATGAATTACTTGAGATTAGAGTAACTAAAGATGAATTACTTAAAAGTAAAGCTTGTAAACATGCATTGATTAGATTTGGGCTTATGTGATGGATCATGGTTTAGTGATATTTAGATTGAGTTTGTATGATGTTATATGACTATAATTGGTTAAGAATGAAGAATGTGGTCAGATTATGTTTAGAATTAGGTATACATGATGATTATGTGAGGTATTGCTTGATAGTAAGGCTTGCAGTATGAAGATAATTTCAAGGGCGTTAAGGGTAAACGCTTATATAAATGAGCTAATGATGTTAAGGCTTTAAGAGGGAAGCTATTATGTGTGTTTAATTGTATGTGGTTTTATTATTGAAAGACTCCACCAACATGACCTATATTATGAGTATTTGAGATCATGCATTTAATGACTTGATTACTTGAACTATGATTATATCAATGTCTAATATAATGAATGCCAGATGTATTGATTGAATATGGTCTTTGGTCCTTAAAAGGGCAATATATGGTATTATACATGCTTTGTGAAAGTGTGTTCATGATGTAAGACCATCTTTTGAGAAAGTAAAGTGATCATGACTTTGATGTAATTGTGGTGTTGTTGAAAGTCTATTCTCATACACATACACTTATACATGATTATTCCAAGATTATGATGATATTATTTTGTTGATAGAAAGTTCATTCTTATAAACAAATAATGAATATAATGTGAAAGTTCTTCTCAAGTATTGAAGATTCTAGGTTGAAAGTCAGTTCTCACCTAATTGAATCTAACATGAAGATTCTAGGCTGAAAGTCAGTTCTCACCTAATTGAATCTAACATGAAGACATGGACTGTGAAAGTGTTTCTCACGCATGATCTAATGGTCTATCCTAATGAAACAAGTTAGGATTCAATAAATACTTCATGGGAATTATGCCTAGGACCGAGTGGATATTGAAAATGAGATAGAGGCTCTCCCGTCAATTTAAAATGCTGGGTTTCTAAATGTAATCTCATGAGATGGAAGCTCCCCAGTTAAGTAAGGTTGGATTTCTAGAAGCAATCTCCTTATCCCATACACTACGTGCCCCCATAGGTTATTTAGCATTGGATCTATCTCCAAGCTAATACATTTTAGTTCTACCTTAGGCAAGTAGGACACCTCTTTTCGGTGTGGGGCATGACACCGGATTCCATGCAAGCTCACATAGTGTATGTCGGTTAAGGAAAATTCCCACAAGGTCAAGTCTAGGATGTACTATGGCTATTAAACAAGTTCAACTTAGTATGGGTGGGGGTATGAGACTTCATCCATGCATTGCACAAGTAGGCATTGAGAGTAGTTATGGTAGGTTCCTCTATGTCAAGATGACTCATTTAATGAATGTGCTTGTGACTAAATGGTAATTGCATTTGATGACAAGGCTACTTATAATGTTGTATGTTAACTTGGATTGTTTCCATGAGTTGCTTTCCTTGATGTGGTTGACTAAAGGTGAATGTTTCCTTGTCTATGAGAAATAGGATAACGATGAGATTAAAAGAGGGTAAACATGAGTGAGGATCTAAAGTGACTTGCTTAGTGTGGGTAGGATTATGGGATCTTATCCATACATTGCACAAGCTTACCTTGCGGTGGCTCATGAAGTGTTGCTCACATGTCATGCTAACACTATATTGTATTGACTATGTATATGTTCCTAATGATATTTATTATGCTCACTAGTTGTGATTGTTGTTTACCATGCTATAGTCTATATCTCTTCATGATGTCTTTTATGCTTATGACTGGTGTTTTCACACTACCTTCAAAGTGATGGTTTAAACTAATAAAGTGCATGCATTCAACTAAAATGTCTCTTTTATCATGTTTTCAAAGGTTTTTATGCATGACTATCATACTTGATACATTTTCGTGCTAACCCATATTTCTTCTACATTTTCCACAAAGTGTATGGTTTGGCGATATCAACTTTTATCCTCGTGGCTAGGATCATAGTAGATCAAGAAAAAGGAGTTTGGTAAGTCCTTATAGCATTTGAGGGCTTGACCATTATGTCTTTTAAGTCTTTGATTTCATGTTTAGAGCTTTTGTATGGCCTGCGTCCCAAAGTTGTAGTCTTAATGGTTATAGATGGTTTGAGACAAAGTGTAGACTCCCACTTATTTTTATAAAAGACTTCGATAGTAAAAGAAAAAGTTTTAAATTCCATACCATTTTTGTATTATCTTATGTTATGATATGCTATGATGCTTTTCAGAGTCTTGTACACCGTGTCACATCTAAGGGGTACTCCTTGGTCGTGACAGTTGAATTTAGGAGGAGCATTGGAGGAGCCTTCGCCAGAAAACCATTGTCGAAACATAGAACGACCATGTCCATCGGACCTTGAAAAATAACAATCACCAGTTTTAGCCCTCTTTGCCTCCATAGACATTTCCTTAAGTTTCTCCTCTTCGATTTGTTGAGTATGAACCATGAGACGAGAAATATCCATGTCATTAACAAGCATGGCGGTGCGACATTCTTTAACAACCATTTCAGACACACCCAAAAAATTTAATCAGCTTTGCCATAAGATCAACAACCATTGTGGGAGCATAAGATAATTGTGTGAACTTCAAAGCATATACCTTCACACTCATACTTCCTTGAAGGAGATTGATGAACTCAAGAACCTTTGCCTCCCTCATCTCAAGAGGAAAGAACATAGAGGGAAAGCAACCTTAAACATCTCCCAATCGAGAGGACCCAGATCTTCCAGTCTCCCTTCTTTCCACTGATTGAACCAAATTTCAGCAACGCCCTTAAGTTGATAAGCGGACAACTCCGCCTTTTCCACCGGCGTCACTCTTATAATCATCAACACCTTGTAAACCTCATCAATGAACTCTTGAGGATCTTTCTCAACCTTAGAACCATGAAAATCGGGGGGATTCATTCTTGTGAAGTCCCTCACTCTAGATGCCACCGTACCCACATTTGGGTTAATGAGAACCGCAACCTCTCTATAGTCTTGGGCAATCATGGCTTGAGACAATACTTGAAAAGAAGCCCTAAACTCCACATTCGTTACTTGCTCGACCAAAGGGTCGATTGGAGCTTGAGGAGGAGCTTCTTGTTCCACATTCTCCCTCACATTCCTTCTAGAAAAGCTGCTTCAAGTAGCCATATCCTGTAAAACATTGGATAGGGATTAGGAGAGAGACCTTATAGATTTAAACTCTATCGCATGAGTTTAGAGTAATGTAGAAGTGGAGTTTTCTAAAGATCTTGTAGCCTCTCTTTCATAAAAGTGGCGCGCTTCACACTCATGAACAAGACTCTAATTAATATGGCTCATGCGACATCCTAGGAGCTTTCTAAAGCTTGTGCTCTGATTACCAAGTTTGTCACGACCCAAGGTACCCCCTAGGCGTAACATGGTGTATAGAACCCCGAGAGGCCCCATACAAGCCACTTAGTATTCATAACATAATAAATAGAATGAAAAGACTTCGAAGACAATTTCAATATATGAAAGTTTATAAAGCAAAGTGAAAGTCTAAACACTTGTCTCATTAGCCATCTAGTACATAAGAGTGAAACTGGGCCTAGCCCATACATCATGTCCAAAACTAAAAGTAAGAAAGAAAACTGAAAATAATGAAAATCCGTCCTCGAAGCATGAGGACTTACTAAAGCTCAAAATCTCTCAAAATCAACCTCTAGCCATGAAACTCAGACCCTACATTGGAGGAAAATGCAAGCAAGAGTATGCGTTAGTACAAACATGTACCATGGATGATAGCCATGCATAAAACATTTGATGACATACTTAAAAAGGGACATTTTATGACATGTAATGACCAAGCTAAAACATGATATAAAAAGGTTCAAAAAACATAAGTCATAAAACATGGTCAACGCAAGCTAACATATTTAAAACCTTTGAACACATGTGAGATACTTCTTGAAGTAACCTTAGTTCATTATTATTTTGGGAATTAGCCTTAACTAACATAAAAGACCATGTGAGCTATAACGTGATCCCTCAGTGTCTCCTGCATCGAAAAGGGTTGTCCTACTTACCAAGGTAAGGACATGAACTTCTTGCTTAGGTGGATGCACTAGCTAATTCCTATCTAGACAATCATCCTATGGGGGCATATAGGTAAGGGGTAATGAGATTGCTTTTAGAAACCTGGCCTCTACTCACAGGAGAGCTTCCATCTAAATATCCTCTCGGTGCTAAGCACAAATCCCATGGATTAGTCATTTTCTTACTTGTTCTCATTATCCATGGAAGGGCACGTCATATTGCCAATCCAAGCTAAGTCATAAGTAATCCATGGAAAGTTATTAATCAATAACCAATTGAAGCTAGGTTTCATTAGGATAGCTCCGTATCTTTGATTCATTTCGGTGAGAAGACCTTTCAACCTTAGAATCCTTACTATGTGAGAAAACCTTTCACAATCATACTTTCACGTGTATATGAGAAAATCCTTTTAACAACATGAAAACATTATCATTGATACTTCACACTCAAAGCATCCTTAAAACATTTACTTAAATCCCATTATAACATGTTTAATTTCATAAATTCTTTATTCATAATCCAAAACCCACTTCATATCGTCATAATTTGGAAAAACATGGGAATTACATGGGTTCATGGGGAATCATCATAAAATTATAGAATTAACTCAATTCATGTATAAGTGTATGTGTATGAGAATAGACTTTCAACAACACCACAATTACATCAAAGTCATGATCACTTTACTTTCTCAAAAGATGGTCTTACATCATGAACACACTTTCACAAAGCATGTATAATACCATATATTGCCCTTTTAAGGACCAAAGACCAAATTCAATTAATACATCTGGCATTCATTATATTAGACATTGATATAATCATAGTTCAAGTAATCAAGTCATTAAATGCATGATCTCAAATACTCATAATATAGGTCATGTTGGTGGAGTCTTTCAATAATAAAACCACATACAATTAAACACACATAATAGCTTCCCTCTTAAAGCCTTAACATCATTAGCTCATTTATATAAGCGTTTACCCTTAACGCCCTTGAAATTATCTTCATACTGCAAGCCTTACTATCAAGCAATACCTCACATAATCATCATGTATACCTAATTCTAAACATAATCTGACCACATTCTTCATTCTTAACCAATTATAGTCATATAACATCATACAAACTCAATCTAAATATCACTAAACTATGATCCATCACATAAGCCCAAATCTAATCAATGCATGTTTACAAGCTTTACTTTTAAGTAATTCATCTTTAGTTACTCTAATCTCAAGTAATTCATAAAGTAGTTCATCAATCTTAGAGGGTCACATCAAAGCCCTCAATTGCCTCTTCCATGGCATAAACCAAACTATATAAATTTCACCCTAAAACCTTTAGTTAGTCAAGAATACATGTATAATCATACTAAAATCATGCAATTACACCATAAACAATTGTTATTCATTCAATTGAATCAATATATAATAATACTCACACCTTAAGATCCAAATTTGGGAAATTAGGGATTTCATGGGTTCTTGGGGGAATTCATCATAAACCAACAATAATTCATCAATTCAATCACAATCCATCATAAATCAACCATTAAAAATGTTTTTGGAAAGAACCCACAAGAATGAAGTCAAACTCTCACTTTTGGGGAAAACACTAGTTTTGAAATTGAACTTTGAAGGGGCTCTATGGGTGAAGGCTACCCATAGATGAAAAGCTACCATACCTTGATAATGAATCTTCAAAGAATTTGAGGAAGAAGCCTTGAATTCTACAAAACCCTAGCTCCAATTCTACTATTCTTCTTCCTTGAGTTTGAGAGAGAGAAATATTGTGAAGAGGATGAACTTTGAGAATTATTTGGGTTTTGAAATAAATGACTTAATTGGGTGAGTTTTGTGTTAAAATGACTTAAATAGGGGTCCTAGGCTTGGACAAAACGGCATAACTTTGAGTTAAAACAATTGGAAAAAGATCCAAGAAGTTACCTAACTGTTAACTGCCGAAATGGCATGAAGGACGCCTTCACGGATCGTCATCATCACCACGGCCCGTCAAACGGGTCGTGAAGAATTTTCAGCCTAACAGTGCTTCACTATTTCGGGAATAACTTTTTATCCCGAGATCGGAATTGCCTAGCCCATACATCATGTCCAAAACTAAAAGTAAGAAAGAAAACTGAAAATAATGAAAATCCGTCCTCGAAGCATGAGGACTCACTAAAGCTCAAAATCTCTCAAAATCAACCTCTAGCCACGAAACTCAGACCCTACATTGGAGGAAAATGTAAGCAAGAGTATGCGTTAGTACAAACATGTACTATGGATGATAGCCATGCATAAAACATTTGATGACATACTTAAAAAGGGACAATTTATGACATGTAATGACCAAGCTAAAACATGATATAAAAAGGTTCAAAAAACATAAGTCATAAAACATGGTCAACGCAAGCTAACATATTTAAAACCTTTGAACACATGTGAGATACTTCTTGAAGTAACCTTAGTTCATTATTATTTTGGGAATTAGCCTTAACTAACATAAAAGACCATGTGAGCTATAACGTGATCCCTCACTGTCTCCCGCATCGAAAAGGGTTGTCCTACTTACCAAGGTAAGGACATGAACTTCTTGCTTAGGTGGATGCACTAGCTAATTCCTATCTAGACAATCATCCTATGGGGGCATATAGGTAAGGGGTAATGAGATTGCTTTTAGAAACCTGGCCTCTACTCACAGGAGAGCTTCCATCTAAATATCCTCTCGGTGCTAAGCACAAATCCCATGGATTAGTCATTTTCTTACTTGTTCTCATTATCCATGGAAGGGCACGTCATATTGCCAATCCAAGCTAAGTCATAAGTAATCCATGGAAAGTTATTAATCAATAACCAATTGAAGCTAGGTTTCATTAGGATAGCTCCGTATCTTTGATTCATTTCGGTGAGAAGACCTTTCAACCTTAGAATCCTTACTATGTGAGAAAACCTTTCACAATCATACTTTCACATGTATATGAGAAAATCCTTTTAACAACACGAAAACATTATCATTGATACTTCACACTCAAAGCATCCTTAAAACATTTACTTAAATCCCATTATAACATGTTTAATTTCATAAATTCTTTATTCATAATCCAAAACCCACTTCATATCATCATAATTTGGAAAAACATGGGAATTACATGGGTTCATGGGGAATCATCATAAAATTATAGAATTAACTCAATTCATGCATACGAGATCATAATTCAATCAATTAAATTAATAATTAAGAGAACCCATAACATAGAAGAAAAATCCTAACTCAATTGGGGATTTTTAACTTTGAAAATAGGTGAATTTTGGAACTCCATGAATGGAAGGAATCCATGGATGAAAACTATCGTATCTTAACGCCAAAAGATTGCCTTCAATGGTGGAATTGGAAACTTGCCTTGAAACCCTAGGTTTAACCCTTCTTCTTCAACTTTTTAGAAAGAGAAATATTT